CAGGCTTCGGGGAGGGCAGGGCCGCCCCCACCTGCGCGGAGCTGATTTATCCCTGTCAAGCTGCTGCACCTGTCGCGGCCTGCGAGCGGTGGAGGACGGATCCGATTTTTAGAAATAAGTCCAGAGAAGGGACTTGAACCGCCCAAGGTCACATGGCAAGTGCGTGACTGATGGAAGCAGAACGCGATCCCAAACATCTGGGCTCCCAGCCCGTTTTCCGTCGCCCAACTGTCTCCTCTGCGGGGTGGGAGGGGTGGGGACCGGGGCGCCAGGGCCCTCCTGCGGGACGCGAGGCGGGGGGCTCAGGAAAGAGGTCTGGACGGGGGTCGGAAAGGACAGGGCAAGTGAATCCTTGGGGACAGAGCGGGGAGAGGAGACTGGAGGGAAGTCCAGCCCCTGGAGGACCCGGACCCTTGCCTAGGGGGCTGCGGGCCGGACTCGGTTCCGTACAGCAGGTCCCCCCTCCTGTCCGTGAAGGGCGCGCAGCAGTACCGGCCTCGCAGAGGCTGGGCGGGGAGCACATCGCCGCAGCTCGCGCTGCTCTCACGGATTGTGTTCCGTGTGCCGGTCTCCCGGCCTCTTGTGTTGTCAGGAAGCTGCATCCTGGTCTGCATCCTAAACGGGAATATGCAGGAGGGGAAGGGAAGCTGCCATTGCACGCCTAAGGGACTACGGATTTGCAAATCCGTTCCAAGCCTGCCACCTCCTCTGGGCTCCCCAGCCAGCCCCGTGACGGTGGCGAGCAGGGATTCTCACCTCCTTTCGAGAGGTTTGAAAACGGAGGCATCAGGAAGAAAATGTGTTGCTTGCTCAAAATGTCATGGCCAAGAAGTGACAGGTCCAGATCTAAATCCAGTGTGGTTGTTGTTGTTGCTGTTTGCATCATAATGTGGGGACCTCCTAGCACAGATCTGGGCACATGGTCGGTGCCCGGGAGTACGGGTTCCTTTCCGCTGCCTTTCTTGCACTCAGATGAGAATATCTCATTTCAAGCACCGGCTCCGGCTGCATAACACCAGGCACCGGCCTGTTCCTAATGCTGGCTCTTCCCAGTGTGCTGTCGGGGGAGTTGCACACGTTCCTTTTATAACTGAGAAGAGGACTGCGGACCAGAGCCTCGAGCTGGTGTCTTCTGGGCGTTAAACTGATGGCTGATAATGGCCTGTTTACCAGCCCCTTTCATCGCTGTTGAGCAAGCAGTTAGGCGGTGAGAGCCCCACCAATGAGAGTGAGTTCCACCGCTCGTCCCTCTCCCAAGAGCGCAGTGTAGAGAGGGCCAGTTTCACAGGTCAGTGTCGTCATTCCCGGTGAGGCCATTGTAGGGCCTCCTGAGGGCAGGAAAACAGAAGGGTCGCCCCCCCCCCCCCTTGTAGGAATGTGGGTTCATATCCGCAAAAGCCGCTGCAAAAGAATTCAGTAATGAATGCGGTGTTGCCGGTGGGTGATATTCAGGCTCCGAGGACTCTAGGACGCAGTGTGGTTTCTCGTCTGAATTCCTTTCATGCACTAGTCTGCCCGCCAACCACCGTTAGGCCTGTAAGTGATCAGTTGTTCTCTGTGTTGCCTTATTTCTTCATCCAGACGACGAACTCCTTCAGGGCAAGTACCACCTACTTTCAGGTGTGTATCTCATTGCTCCTGGCACTGGCAGAGCTTCGGATACCTATCTGCCAATCAGATTAGTACAAAAACTGATAATGTTGCCAGTATTGGAAAGTAGAGATCATATTCTGGACTATACTAGAGCTTGACCCTCCAGTTAATCTTATGAGATAGATTTTAGGAATCCCTATGCTTTACAAAAGAGGAAATGAAATCAGAGGTTAACTAATATGCCAGTGAACACACAGCTTCTGGCCCTGGCCGGGTAGCTCAGGTGGTTGGAGTGTCATCCCAATGCGCCAGGGTTACAGGTTCGATCTCCAGGCGGGACACATAGGGGAATCAACTGGTGAATGCATGGGTAGGTGGAAAGCAAGTTGATGTTTCCCTCTCTCTCTTTCTCTCTCTCTCTCTATCAAATCAGTAGAATTAAAAAAAAAAATACAGCTACTAGAGCTTGGATTTGAACCTGGCCACGCATTTCTGAAACTTTGCACACATCTCCCTTCATCTCAGAAGCAAGACTCAGGTTTTACTCAGGTTTACACAGATCTCCTGCCCTCCTCCTCTCCATTTGCGCACCTTTCTCCTATCTCCAAATCTGAATCTGCTCTAACTAGTTCCAAGCCTGCTCCTTGAGGAGTCTCCTAAAGCAGTGGTTCTCAACCTTCTGGCCCTTTAAATACAGTTCCTCATGTGGTGACCCAACCATAAAATTATTTTCGTTGCTACTTCATAACTGTAATGTTGCTACTGTTGTGAATCATAATGTAAATATCTGATATGCAGGATGGTCTTAGGCGACCCCTGTGAAAGAGTCATTCGACCGCCAAAGGGGCCGCGACCCACAGGTTGAGAACCGCTGTCCTAAAGGACTAGCAAGCAGCCTTCAGCATGAATCAGAATTCACTCTTCTCAGTTTGGTTCAGTCCAGTTGTTATCTTCCTTCCTTAAACTATAAACTATGAAGTTGATTTTTTCCAAGGTATACTCGGCCTCAAGTACTCATTAGTTTTGTAGATTGAAGGAGAGATGCTTTTTAAAAAAATATTTTTTTATTGATTTCAGATACAAAGAGAGAGAGATCAATGGTGAGAGACAGTTATTGATCGGCTACCTACTGGGAATTGAGTCTGCAACCCGGGCATGTGCCGTGACCAGGAATTGAACCATGACCTCCTGGTTCATAAGTTGACGCTCAACCACTGAGTCATGAAGTAGAAATGCTTTTGAAAAACCCCCCTCTGTCATGGCTTTGTAGTAAATTGCTTGATAGGCAACAAAGGGGGAAAACCTTCCTGCTTTTGCCCATATAGTCTCCTTTCCTTCCTGTTACTGTGGGAGAATTGGCAGTTCCCCCTTCACTCGTCCTCTGCATCCCACCGCTCGTTCAAAGATAGCTGTCCACATGGGCTCGCACACTGAAGGGTCTCAGTTCAATTCCCGGGCAGAGGCATGTACTCAGTTACAGGCTCAATCCCGGCCCCCCTCGGGGCACATGCAGGAGGCAGCTGATCAATGATTCTCTCTCATCATTGATGTCTCTCTCTCTCTCTCCATCTCTGAAATTTTTTTTTTAATTGCAGAATTGCCCTGGCCTGTGTGGTTCAGTTGGTTGGAACGTTGTCCCATACACCAAAAGGTGGCAAGTTTGATCCTCAGTTAGGGTGTGAACAGGAAGCAAACGATATAAAAAAGAGAAATATGACTGCTGTTGTTTTGGGACCTGTTTGGGAAAAGAATTCTCTTTGTGTTGTTCTGTTTGGGATTTGCATTTTTACTACTCTCTCTAAGCATGTCCTCGATGAGGATTTTTTTTTTAATTTACCTTTTTTTTTTTTGTCAGGCCGGCAAAAAATATAATGTAATTTTGTCTTGGCATTCCATGAGGTGAAAAGGTTGAAAATCACTGACTCAGTACAATGTCTGACACATGATAAGGGTTCAGTGAGTGAAAACTATTGTTATTATTTCTACTATGAACACCTAGAGAACAGATGTTTAAATTTCTCTATTCAGATTTTTTTTTTAACTCACAGCTGACATAACGCTGTGGATAACTTCAGTTCACCCCTCGGGATGAGCAAAACTCCGTCACTTTTAGACCCACAGCCTCCTCTGGTCGTTTTGATTCTCAGATCTCCTCTCCTCGTTCCTATTAACGTCCCCTCACCCCTCCGAGTGTTGTATAAAATAGGTTTTTAACTCAAAATGAATTTAAATTAATTGTTTTGAAAAAATAGTGATACTTTGGGGTACCCCAAAACTTACCTTGGGGTTTACTGCTTATGACACTCTGTTGCGATGCATCCTTGCGTGGCTTTTGTCTCACATTCATTTGATGAGACTTTTTAAATGGCTTCTAAATAACCTAACCTCTTTGGGGAAAATCTTCGTGGTCCAGTCAAGACCTTTGTAAAGTGAATATAAAGCGGACATTTGAGTATTAGAAAGAGGTGTTAAGTTGGGATGCATTGCAGGTAACCGTGGTCTTTGACAGGCCTTGTGAGAGTGAACCCAAACTGGATCAAACCAGATGCCTATTGCCCACTGGTAATAATACTATTACATCAGGCTTTAGAACCATAGCTGACAACCCCAAATTCCCAGGTTAAAAACTTTTTAATTTATATTTTTTAAAAGGCATTTTGTCCCTTTCCTCCTACCACCTACCTTAGCACAGTGACCACCCACTGGAAACAGTTTGACAGTTTCTTAAAAAAAATAAAATAAACATGCAAACATCTTCCAGTCCTGCAGGCTCCAGTCACAGTCAGTGCCCTGTATCAGTATATGTTTTTTTAAAAAAAATTAATATATTTTTATTGATTTCAGAGAGGAAGGGAGAGGGAGAGAGAGATAGAAACATCAATAATGAGAGAGAATCATTGACTGGCTTCCTCCTGCACATCCCCTATTGGGGATCGAGCCTGCAACCCAGGCATGTGCCCTTGGCTGGACTTGAACCTGGGACCCTTCAGTCCGCAGGCCAGCACTCTATCTACTGAGCCAAACCAGCTAGGGCTTTAAAATTTTTTACACTGTACTTTTACTGTACCTTTTCATGTTTAGTTATGCTTGGATACACAGACACCACTGCTACATGGCCTGCAGTACTCAGTCCAGGAACCTGCTGTGCAGGCTGTAGCCTGGGATCAGGAGGCTGCACCTTAGAGCCTAGGTGTGGAGTGGGCTGCACCATCCGGGTCTGTGGAAGTGCCTCTGTGATGTTCGCACAAAGATGCATTTTTGCCTAACGATGCATTTCTCAGAATGTACCCCATCATTAAGTGGCGCCTGACTCTATGGAATGAATTATACCTCCTTAAATCTCACCAAAACAAAAACACTGGTGGGCACTAAGCAGCGAAAGCTGCTGGAGCAATCTTCAGGAATCCTTCCTTTTCACTTCCTCTTCACTACCACAGGGTGGCGCTAGCCACGTGTTCCTTTCCATTTACAAAATGGAGTCCCTCATGGAAAATGTTCATTTGTAAAAACGACTTTCCTTTTATTAATGATCTAGCCAGCTTGGTAACAAGGTAAAATACAGCTTTCATCTTCACTTTCACTTTCTTCATACACTTTCTTTCCTACTGAAAGCTGGTATTTTTCTTTTCAGCTTCCCTTAATTTGGGGCCCTTTTTGCCAACAAGTAATAAACAGCATTACCTTCTTATAATTACTCAGTTAACCTTCAGAGTGTTCACTTTCTTTAACAATTTATAAGCTATTTAGCTGGCTGGGAATACAGTCTGAATTTTCTATATAAAAATTGAGGGCTCACCTTATACTTGCTATTTTGACGGACAGGATCCCCGTCCCCGTCACCATAGTAGAAGCTTAGAGGACTTGGTGTGGTCTCTGCCCAAATGGAAAAGGGCTGCAAGGATTGTGGGATGGGGAGGGCTTAGCCGTTGACTTAGGGGTGTTTCTTTATTTTTACTGGCTTGATATAGGTTGTACTGATCAGCCTTTTAAGGTGCATTTAAAATAAAACACACTTTTACATTAGTATAACACTCATTTTTGCTCTTCAGTCTTTCCTAACCATGGATTGAGCTGCTATATGCAAAGGCCTGGACCAGGGATGCTGGGAGGTGTAACACAGCCTGTCCCATGCTGTGACCGTTCATCTACTGGGCCCTGGGGTGCCCAGATAGTTGGTCAGAGTTATCCTGGTGTTTCTGTGCGGGTGTTTAATATTCACATCAAAAAGCAGTGATGCAGATTGCCTGCCCTAATGTGGGTGACCCATATCCAACCAGTTGAAAGGCCGATTAGAACAAATTCCCTCTTATTCCTTCAGATGAGAGGAAATTCCTCCTGTCCGACTGCTGTCGAACTGACATCGGAGGTTTTCCTGTCTTTGGACTTGGACTTTTTTTTTTTAATTGAGGGCTCACCTTATACTTGCTATTTGGACTGGCTGAATCCCCGTCCCCGTCACCATAGTAGAAGCTTAGAGGACTTGGTGTGGTCTCTGCCCAAATGGAAAAGGGCTGCAAGGATTGTGGGATGGGGAGGGCTTAGCCGTTGACTTAGGGGTGTTTCTTTATTTTTATGGTTGTATAAGTGCACATATATGTATGTATATGTGCGCATATACGTATATCACACATATATGCACACTGCTGGTTCTATTTCCCTGGAGAACACTAATACACATGCCCTCAGGGAGTTGAGGACATAAAGAGAAGACAGCACCAAGAAGAGACCAGGGAATGTTCACAAGTGAATAGGATAGTACAGTGTTTAGGAACATGGGTTGTGGTGTCAGACAGACCGACCTGGATTCCAATTCTGGCCCCACTCAGCTCTGTAAATGTGGGCCCATAACTTGGTCTCTTTTTCCTCATCTTTAAAATGCAGACTCAGTGGAGTACTTCATATGAAACACTTAATACAGTACTTGGCAATAATAAATAGTATGAATTGGCATGTCTAGCGCATGAGACATGCTTAGTATTTGTTGAATATTGGATGACTGCCTTCCCCAAGAGGCTGTCAGGAATGTGCAGGTTTGTAGCCAGTATTGCAGTTTGTAGTGCAGCTAAGTAGAAGGATTTACCTTGCATTTTAAAGAATTTATTTTTTGTTCTTGTGAACTTTTTATATTTCAGGCCTGCCGAGGGGCCCAGACAGCTGCTGCCACCGCTCCCCGAATCAAGAAATTTGCCATCTACCGATGGGATCCAGACAAAACTGGAGATAAACCTCGTATGCAAACTTATGAAGTTGATTTGAATAAGTGAGTATCTTGATGAAAGCTGGGTATTGGATAAGTGAAGGTGAGCTCTTCATCTGATTCAGGGACGTGCTTTCCACACCATTGGGAGGTTTAAAACTAAGGCCATCCAGTGGCTCTGG